AAGATTTTTGGTACTCATTTCTGTTAGAGGCTGAGTTGACCCCAGGGCCATAGTGCGGCTGGAAGGATCAGTCAATTGAAAAATCCAGTGACCTCACAGGGAATTGAATCCATGACTTTCCAACTGTGGTGCTTAATTAAGCACAGGGACAACTTTAACCTCTGTGTGAAGGGCACTCGAACAGTGTGGTTGTATAGTGAGACAGTGCTCAAGGAAGTAAAGTGATTAGACACACCAAAACTTGCTTGGGCATTTTCCTTGTTTTATTTAGTGTAGCAAGCCAACTGAAAGAAAACTTGAATTTTCTTTACATGTTCTCAGAGACACATTCATATATGCATCATCAGCTGACAGGCGAGGTATGGATGCTGTGGTGCGAGTACTTGGTGAGGTTACTCTTCGGCCTCAGATTTCTCTAAAGGAGGTGAATTTGGAATGCTGAAAATGGCTATCTTGCTGCTGTTTCTCTGCGATATGAGTGGTACCCCAACATTCTGAATTCTTCTGTTCTAGTTGGCTAGCGCCCAGCAGGCCCTGAGGTTTGAACTTGAGACGTTATACATGCGACCAGAACAAGAGCCTATTCTTATGGATATGATTCATGCGGTACAAGTTCACTACTTTCTCTGATATTCTGTTTTGACGCATATTATACCTCAATTTTGTACTCAGTATTCTTAATGCATGCAGTTGTAGGAGTGTTTTAAAATGAACATTGGTGTATTTAGAGGCATTATGATTTTCAAACAGGCTGCATACCGAGATAATACACTTGGGCTGCCAAAGATATGCCCAGAAGCGAACATATTGAAAATTGATCGTTCATTGCTATTCACTTACCTGAAACACCACTACACCCCAAAACGCATGGTGGTCACTGGAGTTGGGGTGGACCACGATGAGCTGCTGACGAGTGTACGCAAGTACTTCGTGGATATGAAGCCAATATGGGAGGAAGATACGGACCTGGTTGTACCCACGCTTAACATGCAAGTTGATGAGTCAATTGCACAGTATACTGGAGGGATTATACAGGTACCTAGCTCATAACTGATGGTTGTACTCAGAACTTATACTGAAACCAGTAATAAGTCATTGATTAGAGATGTGAATAGAAAATTATTTAGCAGTACACTATATATGTACAGCATCTGCTCATTATGTTTCCACAAAAGTAACTGTTTAAATAAGTGTAAAATGTGAAGTTCTCCCAGCTGTGTTTGTAGTTGTCCCAATTCTTAGCTAGTTAAGCACTATGCCATGAAGACCTATGGGGGAGTGGATGTATAGATCCATATATTCTTGACCTGTGCACTAGTTGGAGGCGAATGGTCAGCGTCATGCTGTGGACACTTTACCCCGAGGGAAAGAGTCCACCATAGCCATTGGATAGGAGGTTGGGTGGGCCCCAGAACCAGTCTGGGCAGTGTGGAGAGGCGAAAAATCTTGCATCTACTGGGACTTGAATTCTGACCCCTCAGTTGTCCAGCCTGTAGCATCACTATACCAACAGTGCTGTCTCGGCTCCCTATTATTTTAATTACACTGTTAGTATCTCTGGCTAGTGTCAATTCATGGCTGAATACAAAGAGAACTATATTCTGGGATATGACACAGTGTTTTATTGGAACCTGCTGTCTCCATCTTCAGATTACAGGAGTCACGTTTGAACACACACAGAAAAATGTTAGTGGGTTAAATAATCAGAAGAACAATAAAACATTTTGTGCATGAAGTTTTTGTTTGTGTGGCAAAATGAATGCTGTACTGGAAACTAGTTTCAGAATAATGACACTGACACATTTGTCCCACAGGAAGAGTGTGCAATTCCTCTGTATGCTGGAATGTCTGGGCTGCCAGAGCTGGCTCATGTGGTAATTGGCCTCGAAGGATATTCTCACCAAGATCCTGACTTTATACCAATCTGTGTTCTTAACATGATGATGGGGGGAGGGGGATCCTTCAGTGCAGGAGGCCCAGGGAAAGGCATGTACACTCGGCTGTACACCAATGTTCTTAACAGGTATGCCTTCATGTAGCGACAGTCACACAATGAAAAGTATCGTGCTTCAAGTAGCTTCATAAAAGAAGTAAAATAATGTGAAAATAAAACAAAATTGGTCATTGTCATGACTATGATTGTTCACACCAATGTAACTAATTGCAGACCTGATCCTGAGCCAGTTTTATCTGTTTCGCATCTCCTGAATTATTTACTTTACTTTGATTCCAGTATTCACCTAGATCTCAGACCTTTCAAGTGGACTCTTACCAAGAGATTTCTTTGTCAGAACTCCATATGCATATTGTATTTTCCCCATCTAACCACTGTAATCTCATAGCTCTAACAGTCCTAACAACACAAGGTCACAGAGTTCCTCAATATATACAGAACTCCACAAATTAATTTGTAGCTGGTGTGAGCGAGGTCATAAATAACGTGTGTAAGTCCTCAACCAGAAGGTTTTAACCATTTCCTATGTCACTCAGTGCAGGGTTTATATAAAGCTTAATTAAGCCACTGCTTATGCCCTCTCATTTCGACACTCATCATATACTGAGAAACAAATGATCCAGAAGGCAAACACAACATTCTGTTGTAAACAGTAGAACGTAACAAGTGGCTGACTGCATCTCGTCAGATTGGAATGATGCATACAACACAGAGGAGAAAACTCTCAATCAAATCAACAGTCAGAAACAAATTAGTTGGCAACACTAATCTGTGCTTTCAGTTTTTGTGCAGCTGTATGATTGTTGCCAAGCAAATTACTTTCACATATTGGCACAGTTCCGTTCATACAAATATAATTTCAGTCTTCTTTAAAATGTATTCTAGGGGCCTCGGCTGTGTCATAACTTAGAGCAACACAGTGTTCATCTGGCATTGCTCTTACACAGACATCTTACCTGTCTGGGCTATTTGTTTCCAAATCACCAAGCCTTCAGTCTTCATGTGATGGGTATAAAATGTGTGGACTTTGTCCATCATCTTCTATTCTGAAAGAATACAATGTCTGAGAGATTGAATCTGTTTCTGTCCAACAGTGAGATGGCAAGGTGGGGAATATTCAGTCATTAATAAGATCTAAAAGTTTGTGACAATAGTACATTGCTACAAGTATCATGTTTTTGGACATATTCATCATCATGTCTATATTTAAAAACCGTCCTGTTTATCTTTCAAAACACACTTCGGAGACTGGATTCTGTCTCCATCCTCAGGTAAAGCCTACTCAGTTGGGCCCCTATCTCTGGACACCTATTCCAGTTTCAAGAAGAGGTACATAAATCAAACACAACACAAACCACCTTGGAGAGCTAAGAAAATATTCAGTTATTGAAACTCCACACATATAAGGCCTTGCACCAGAGAAGTATCATGATTGAAATCATTGCTGGAGAGAAACAATACTTATGGTACCAATACAAGGGAAAACAAAAAGCCCCCCATCCCCCTCCTTCCACTCCAGCTACTCTTGACTTCTGCTGTGATGATGGGGTCCAGATGGGGGAGAGATCCGCACTGATCAGACGGTGCAGCAGAGACATGGGCTGATTCCTTGTATTTCCTGTATGTGGTGTTGGGCTGAATCAATTCAGTCACTGGACCATGTACATCAGCTACCTACATCTACGTAGTGACAACTGGCTGACAGATTGTGCAATGACTGAGAGCATGTCTTTGTAATGGACCTAATTCAGTAGGTGCCTCCTCCACCTTCTGAAACTTTGTTTTTCTCTTAGATGAACGGTGTAATCCCAAGTCTGAATCTCCAAGTTATGTATTTTCTCAGTTTGCTGTAGTTCATCTACTCTAAAACAATTTTATCCTGAAAATACTGAAAGACATTTCACGCTAAGCTGCACAACGAAGATCACAGTGTCGTAGTGGTTTGTATTCTTGTTCCGTAATCAGTATATACTTGCTAAAAATCTCCGGCTGCAGATCAGTTACCCTGTCTGAGGTTTCTCTATGGAACTATGGGTAGTTCATAGAAAAATGGCGACAACCGCTTCCTTCTTCATCCTTCCTAGTTCATCATTCATATCATCACGTTTGGGTGACCTGGGTTGGTAATTGGATTTGCTGATTACTTCTTGTACAGTCACTCATAATCACAATAAATTACAATAGCTCCCATTAAATCTTCAGTTGAACATTTCTTCCTTGACTGCCTAGGACTCTCTTAATTCTAACTGTACTAACTGGAGCCAGAGTCAGTCGTTCTTACATAGCCTCAGGGCAGACTCCATAGAAGACACGTCTATTGCCTAGCAATGGGCATATGCTGTTGTCCAGAACTCGTGTCTACCAGTCTGTTACCTAACAATGGATATCTTACTGTTGAGCACTTGTGTTTACCAAGCTGTTGCTTAGCAATGGCCATATGCATCACAATATCAAGTGTATCACTAAATACCATGTACTGTGTAGATGATATGTCATTAAAGTAAAGCAAACCCAAGCAGTATACTGACGCATTCTCAGAGTTATACCTCTATAGTTGAGAACTTCGAAGGTTTTGTTAAGAGTTTCCTTTTAATAATACCATTAGGGTAATCAAGTCGAGGAGAATGAGATGGATGAGACTTGTAACATGCATGGAGAGGATGATGAGCAATACTTTGATGAAAGATCATGGTCAAAAGAGACCACTTTGGGGACTCAGATGTAGGCAGAAAGAAAATATTAAATGGATCTTAAAGAAATAAGATATGAAGATGTGGATTCAGATGGCTCAGAATAGTATCCAATATGAAGATTTACTTGACCGAGCAGCAGCTTCCAGCTTTTTACAAGGACCTGCTCAGTGCAATTGCTTAATATTTTGCAATTTTGTGTTTTGTAGGCACCACTGGATGTTTAGTGCAACTGCATATAACCATGCCTACATGGATACTGGTTTGTTCTGCATACATGCAAGCTCACCACCTGCAAATGTGCACGAAATGGTGGAAGTTATTGTAAAGGAACTGGTCAACATGGCTGGAGCCTTGGGAGAGCCAGAATTACAGGTTTCTCAAGAAAATATGGTGATCATTATAACTAGTGTAGTTTTGAATGCCTGACATGTTACAAGCATTTTTATTTTCCAGCGGGCCAAGAGACAACTTCAGTCCATGCTACTAATGAATCTTGAGGCTCGTCCTGTTGTGTTTGAGGATATAGCTCGACAAGTATTGGCTACTGGTCACAGGAAGAGGCCAGAGCATTTTATAAAAGCAATAGGTAAAGTGATGACATGATTACTCTGTAAAATTTGCTAATTGTCTTAGATCTACACATCATTTTGAAAAAAATATGGAACAAGAAAGAAAAGAGATACCAGGCAAGATTTAAATCAGGCTTTAGCATGACAGTAGTTGGACGTAGAATTGAAGAAACCAATGGTGTAATCAGGGAGCCAGGATAGCTAAATTGGTGTACCGACAGCCGGGGTTTGGTTCTCGGCAGGAATGAGATTTTTATTCACATCTGGGGACTTGCAACATGAGAGAGTCTGGAGATTGGTTCTCTAAACTGTTACTGTTATTGAAGAAAGTTGTCTTCTGGGTTTAGGCACGGTGCCTAAACCCAGAAGACAACTTTCTTCATTGTCATCGCCGTGAAAACCTCAAAACTTACATGTTACTGTTATTATTATTATGCTTATTCTAGTTTTATGTGTATTTTATCTTTGTAGAAATTCTCAAATTCTGATTATGCATTTCAGTGAAATCATGATTTCAAAGTGTCCCTGAAGGGATGTAATGTGTAATAGTTCATGAATGAATGGGCTGTCTATGGGAATTGTCAAATATTTTCTGTTGAATTTTGGAATGGGAATTCCACTAATATTCACAGATCCTAATGTGAATCTCACACCAAAGTTTTGGCCACCAAACTGAACATCTGTCTCTATGTTAGACAAAATGTAAATTTAATCACAGCTAATTGTCCAGGGAAGTATTACAGAATGCAGGTAGATGGAAAAGCACAGAGTTGTGATCTAAATTATTCTCTTTTCAGAGAATGTGACTGCAGAAGATATACATCGTGTGGCAAGGCAACTGCTGAAGTCACAACCCTCAGTCGCAGCCAGAGGAGAGATACGTAAACTTCCATCCATGTCTGATATTCAGTCTGGATTACTGGATCATGAGGGCAGATTGCCTGGAAAGAGAGGGAGGCTGTCGCTCTTCCGATGAATTTGTTTGTGTAAGTATAGAGCTGGAGTTAATTTGAAATCTCTAAACAAACTGATTGGATGTAACAACACATTTAAAAATCAATTCTGTTAGTATATTTTCCTTGGATCTACATTCGAGATTATTGAAACCATTATTGTGTATATACATTCGCTGCAGGAATAAACTGTATTCCCACTGAACCACTGTTGTTTCTTTAAAAAGCTCACTGACAGTAGAGACATAATACTAAACCTTACAGAGGTCAGTTCATTCGGAGAAAACTCTGAATTAATAAATAATTGTGACATACAGATGCACTGCTAGGTAAAGACCTCGAAACAAAAACAATAAGACTGGTGCAGTAAACACACTTGTACAACAGTAGAGTTACTGCTGGAAATTGTGTTTCCCACTTGGTCCATGCAAAGGGGTTATAAGGAAGACAATTGTGGTGACCCAGTTGAGTGTTGGAGGTGCAAGGGAGGCTGAGAGTAGATTGCGCAGTTCAGTTTTGAAGTATTAACCAATGGACAACGGCATGACGGCAGAGGCTGAAGAATCTCCATTGTTAAGATTTGTTACCAGGAAACAGGCTGAGAAGACTTAGCATGGAGTGACATGTAAAGTGTGTAGATCAGTGATAGCATTGTAAGTGCTTATAGGTATGAGTCGTGCGTATAAGTGGTCAATAAATCCATTCACCAATCCAAACCCTGTCTCTAGTCACACCCCTAAATCATGATATTGTGCAATAATTTACCAGTAAAGAAAGAACTTTGCGACACTGACCTGCTGGCTTCAACATCTGTGAACCTGGAGCGTTGTGTCTGCCTCTTCAGGTGGAGAGAAACTAATTACCTCTACACCTACCAAGGTATGTAGTAGATGGGTTTTGTTTTTGGTGAATTATTGCATGATTGAGCATTAATTTGGGACCTCTTCCAATGAATCACTCTGTATTATAACATCTCCAGCCTATCAGATGCATCCACTGACAGGTTCTATATAAAAAATAAAACCACAATACTTATTCTGGGTTATAAAACTGTTGCCTGGTAGGTGGGTAAAAGTAAAGTAAAGCTATCCCTGTACCAGGCAATGAAGGCCCATAGGGTTGTGAGACGTTGAGGGTCCCACATTATCTAGACAATCGGCTCAAAGATGGCGGTAAGGTTGTCAGCCTTACGCGCCGGCCAAGCTTTACTCCCCAGGAAAATTACTTAATTAATTCCTGGTACTCATTTCTGTTAGAGGCTGAGTAAACCCCAGGCCCTAGTGCGGCTGGAAGGATTAGGTCAACTGAAAAAAATCCAGTGACCTCATCGGGACTTGAACCCGCAACCTTCCGGCTTGTAGCATGACCCCTCAACCAACAGGTCTAAGGTACCAACTTTGAAGATAGCAGTATAATAACCTGACAATGCAAAATACAATTAATATGTTGCTGGACATTATCCATCATCTTGTCTGTTCTTAAAAACCGTCTAGTTTCTATTAAAAACACAACGTTTCGGGAACTGGAATCTGTCCCCGTCTTCAGGTAAAACCTACTCAGTTGGGTCCAATAGACAGACCTAGCCCCTATCTCCGGACAACTATGCCAGTTTCAGAAGGGGTTCATAAAACAAGCACAACGTAATCCATCTGTGAGAGCTAAGAAATATTCAAGCTATCATATTTGAGGCTTAGCACCAGAGAAATATCTAGAATGAAATCATACCGGGAGAGAAGCAATACTCCTTGTGGTACCAACATATGAAACAAATAGTTACCCAAACCAACTACACTTGACGTCGCTGTAGTCTCTTGATTTCTGCTGTGATGACAGGGGCCCAGATGGGAGAGATATCCACACTGGGTTGACT